GTGTTAACAAGGACGTGGATCAACTAATTGCGTTGCTGGTGGGAGTGCTGAAATGGTTCGGCCACTTGAGAAACCTGTCTGCATTATTAGCTACTAAAGCTCCAGTCCTAGGTGACGGTTAATTTGATGTATCAACTTGGGTGGCCACAGTATCCAGAGAGGAAGGGAGCGGGAGAGAGAGAGAAACATTGATCGGTTGCCTCCTGTATGTACCCCAACAACCGGGGACCAACCCACAACCTGGGCATGCGCCCTGACTGGGAATGAAACCGGTGACCTTTTGGTGCACAGGACGACGCTCAACCAACTGAGCCACACTGGCCAGGGCTGTGAAGGTACTTTTTAGCTGACGCTAGCGTTTCCATCTGTGGACCGTGAGGAGCGCAGGGTACCCTGCATAAGGGTGGGGGAGCGTGAGGAGTTGTGCTGGAAATCCCATTATGGGAACGTGGGGTGGCCGCTCGGCCACACGGGGTCCACAGTCAGAAATCGAGGTCATTAAAGGGAAGACTCCTGTGGAAGGATGTGCCTTTGTCCCCAGCGCTGACCATCACCCCTGCTGAGCGGCCTCAGGGACCTCAAACCTCAGCCAGGAAACCTGGAAAACAAGCTCATTAAAACTCACCAGCACAAACCAAAAAACAAAACAAAACAAAACAAAAAAGCAAAAATGAACTCAGAGCATCTGCCTCGGGAGCCTTGCAATCCACTGCCCTCGGTCCCGCCCTGGACAGATGGTGCCCCTTGGTTCTGACTCTGTATCTATTGCTGCCCAATAAATTACCTCAACATTCAGCTGCTTAAAACAACAAGCAGCCCTGGCCGGTTTGGCTCAGTGGATAGAGCGTCAGCCTGCGGACTGGAGGGTCCCAGGTTCGATCCCGGCCGAGGGCACATGCCTGGGCTGTGGGCTCGATCCCCAGAGGGGGGTGTGCAGGAGGCAGCGGATCAGTGATTCTCTCTCATCGTGGGTGTTTCCATCTCTCTCTCTCTCTCTCCCTTCCTCCCTGAAATCAATAAAGAAGCAAAATTTTTAAAATACAAGCATCTATTATCTGTTTCTGAGTCAGGACTCTGGGAGGGGTTTGGCTGGTGGTTGCACCGGGTTTCGGTTTTATTCACATTAGGTGTGGCAAGGCCAACAGGTCAGGGCGGGCGGTCCCTCCAGGGTCAGCAAAGCCTCAGATGGTAAGGCAGCCCCTTGAGCAGAAAAGAAAGCCCCGACCCAGTGCGGCTCCTGGCGCCCGGCCAGATGTTGCTGTCTGTCGGGGACAAGTCAGGCAGGACTCTGATGACCCAGCTGTGCTCACGGGCTGGCCCCTGGGACCAGGCGCTGGGTCTGGGGCCGGCGCTCGGGGAGGCGCCGGGCTTGGGTCGCACGTGTCTGGAGGACAGGGCCTTCCCAGCAGGAGATGACGGGGTCTGTGGGGTCTGGAGCTGAGTGGCCATCCCGGATCGCAGCCCTGCCTTGGCTGGGTTTATGAGCCAAAGTCGCAGTGGCCCTATTTTTGGAACAACAGGAAAAAAAACAACTGCTTCAGACTCTCACAATGGTAACTTTCCACAGGTGTGGCCTAATCAGGGGTCTAAGTGAGGACGTAAGTGTACTGAGCCTGGGCGCCTCTCAAGAACAAGGCTCAGGAAAGTAAGTTGAAGGGGCTGCCAACAGAACTCGCGCCTGCAGGACGCCCGCTGCACACTGTCCTCCGGAGCCGGCCCAGCTGCAGGCGCACCAGCTGCCCCTCGCCCCGGCCAGAGTCTTCCGGCAGCGGCAAGGTTTGGAGCTCAAGTTTCCTTGTCAGAAACATCTCCCAGACAAGCACTAGGCAGTTCCTGGGGGTCGCTGTCCCCCCCCCCCCCCCC